TTTTAGGCGGGGGAGGAGGAGTCGCTCGTACAGCTTGCTTATAGCCTTGAGGAGGCTGATAGGACGATAACTGGACGGGTCGGATTTATTTTTACCGGGCTTGGGGATGCCAATGACCACGGCTTCTTTCCAGCTGTCTGGAAATATGGCGTTGGACAGCACCGCGTTAAAAATAGTGACGAGCAATACTAAAAGTTGGGATGGCAGACTTTTGACTAACCTATTGGATATGCCGTCTGAGCCGGGTGATTTTTTGATAGGTAATTGTTTAACTAGCGTTTTGACCTCATCAAGCGTGACTGGTGAGATAGATTCGGTGGGCGGGGTGGACGCGATGCGTTCGACTTCGGTGTCTATCTTCTCGAGATGACCTGCCTCGACTGGGAGCGTGCTGGGGGAGCATTGGGCTTCTAAGTTGGACGCTAGACACTCAGCCTTGTCTTCGTCGAAGAAGGCTATAGTGTTGTCGGGTCGGACTAGCGGGGGCAGGTCGTTTGTCTGTTGGTCGGTTTTGAGAGATTTCGCTATGCGCCAGTACGCGGTGTGGCATGGCGTTATCTCTTCTAGGAGCTTGCCCCACCGGCCGTCCCGGATCTGCGCGATGTGCTCCTTAACGCTACGCTGTAAGGCTCGCAGGCGCACCCGGTTCGGTTCGGAGGGGTAGCGATCGTACGCTCTAGTGGCTGCGTTCTTATCGCTTATTAACCTCCTTACGTCATCGGGGAGCTGCCAGCGACGGTCGTCCGTCGCCGGTACCTCCCTGGAGCAGTCCTTGACTGCCGACTGCAGGTGGTTAGTAAGCGAGTCGATCGCAATGACAGTGTCCTCGGTGGACTCTATGACGTCGGGAATACGGGTTAGTATCGGTGTGTCGGTCGATTCGAGAGATTTCTCGAGTCGTTGCCAGTCTGTTATTGTTTTGGTTGGTAGTGGCGTGTCGGGCGGATGGCCCAGAAGGAGGGTTACCGGTCGATGGTCCGAGTTAAGCTCGGCATGGACTTCTGGGGAGCTCACCCGTAGGGTTACGTTCCTCAGCAGTGCCATGTCCAGTATGTCGGGTCGGTGGTTCACGTTATGGGGATAATGAGTAGGGCGGAGCGGGGCGATTATCTCGAATTCGAGAGAGTCGGCTAGTCTGTCTAGTTTGTGGCCGTTTGTCGTGGATACGTGGCAGTTCCAGCGGGTGTGTTTACAATTCAAATCGCCAGCCAGAATGGTGGCGCTGTTGATATCTAGGAGGGCGCGTAGGTCGCTTTCCAGCAGTAGTTTGCCGGGAGGCTGATAGACGGATGCCACGGCGAGCGGTCGGTGGCCGGTCATGCCGAGAAGACAGACGGAGGCCTCCATATGAGTGAGAGGCGGTGTTTGTAGCGGTATACAATGTAGGGACCGTTTATAGTATATGAGCGTACCGCCGCCTCTACAGGCGGTGCGGTCGTTCCTAACTATGTTGTAATTGGCGATTCTAGGATCGCGGACTGAACGTTTCAGTAGGGTCTCCTGCACGAGGAGAATATCGACGTGGTGGTCAGTGAGAAAGGAGGCGATTTCCTCCTTTTGTTTTTTTAATCCGAATGCGTTAAAAAACGCTATTCGAACGGACCGAGGCTTTTCTCTCTGAGCTCGAGTACCCATAATTACAGGTTAAAATTGAGGATGGCGGTAAGTACGCCGATGTGCTCGCAGACGGCTGCGAGCCTATTTTGGGGCGACTCCTTATACAGACGGAGTTTGGAGGCCATAAGGGCAATCTCAGTAGGGTCGATGGTGCTGGCTAAGCGAGCGATCAATGCGAAGTCTTGCGCGAGGGCGTTGCCGTTGACCTTAGGGGCCGCGGGCAGTGTTTTGGGGATAGGTTTGTGTACGGGGTTGGGCGGGGCCGATTGGGCGGGCGGGGCTTTCTCCTTGCTACCTTGCTTACAATTGCCGGGGGTTTAATCCAGGCATTGTTAGCAGGCAGAGGGGCGGGTAGGAGTGGCTCGGGTTGTGTTTGAGCCTTGGCGGGGGCACGTGCCGGAGCACGGTTGCCCTGGGTGTGGGTGGCCTTCTTTTGGGCGGGACGTGGGGCGCGTGAACAACCGCGGTAATTCGCGGTGTGACCCTCTGTGAGGCAGAGGGTGCAACTGGGGGGCGTGGGGGTATTGGGCCTACGGCCGCAATCTGCGGTGGCGTGATCGCCTAGGCACTTAACGCACCGTGGGCGAGCGAAGCAATTACGGGCAGAGTGCCCGTAGTTCTGACAACGGTGGCATTCTCCGGGGTAGGTAAGCTTACGAGGCGCCTCTACGGATAGAGAAGACAATTGGCAAACGCTCTTTATGTCAAAGATTGATTTGCCTTCTGGGGATAAGTCCAATATGACTAGAACAAGGATAGCGGCCTTGTTGCGTGAGCGCGACTGGTACATACGATGTACCTCGTGCTCTGGGTAATTTTGGGACTGAAGGTCCTCAAGGATGGAGTCTGTTGAGAGCTCCTTGGGTAAGCCACGTATTACAACGCGGAGCTTTTTCTCTTCCTCGAGAGCATAGGTGTGATAACCTATGTTTTTCTCTCGCAGGAAGGTGTTGAGACGACGATGGTCGTCAGATGATGGGACTGATACTTTGATCCCTAGTGAGGTAGCCTTAGCATGGCTGAAGTTGATATGCTTATTTTTAAGCATATTTGATACTGTGTTCCAGGCACTTTTGTCCTGGATAATGACGGGGGGGCGGGACTTTGGTCTCGGGGTGCGACTTGCGTGCACTCGGACCGGGGGCGATTTTAGCGGTACCGTCGTGGGCATGCTTTGTTTTGGTTGGCTGGGAGCCCTGGGTCTTCTTGGCACGCTTGTTGCCAACAACGATAAAATCGTCCTCGTCTGAGGAGACCGGGGGGATGGGAGAGGGGACGTCGCCGTCGCGGATGGCGTCGAGCTCCATACTAGGAGCGTCAAGCTCCGCGACGGAGTCGTCCTGCTCCATGGACGGAGAGGCGGGATCGGCCTGGTCGGCTTGGGTCGGGGGAAGCGGCGGGAGCCGTTGGGACTCGTCCTCGAATTCGTCAGTGTCAGTCTGAGTCATTGGGGACGCGGGGGGCGAGCTGTACACTAAGTGCACAGGCTTGGCGGCTTTGAATGATATAAAGGCATTTAAGATGCCGGGACACTTTTTTTCCAGGAACTGGAAGAACAGAGGCATATCGGCCTCTGATAAGGACATTTTTCATAGAATGGTATATACAAAGAAATAGAAATAACAATATAAAAATATTACACAAAGAATAGAAATAACAATATAAAAATGAGATGAGAGTACTTGGTTAGTTTACAGTTATTTAGAAGCTAAGTTCATACTGTCTCGACACCTCGTTGTTTATATTATAAAATGTTCAATCCGTTTAAAGTCAGTTCCAATAAAGAAATAGAAGCAAGCACATGTATTTTAATTCTTTGCAAAATAAATAGTGCAGAATCAAGCAATCGAAAACGGACCCTATTGTAAAGAACATATGGTCCTCGAGCCGCATCAAGTAAGCGATAACCGGCCGCTCCGAATACAATAGGCGCCCGCATTCCAGAGTCGACCTTTTTTTTCTATAGCTATTTATGCATAATAGCGATATATTATTGACGACGTAGTTGCAAGTGATAACAAACAAACGAAGTTATAATTACGGGGCTTAAAAACAAGATATTGAAAGGATTTTTAAAGTAAATTTTTATCAAGATGAGTACATCGGCTGCCCAACTTCTCAGCGTATTAGAAGAAACTGCAACTTTATTACAAAAGACTCAAATAAACTTAAAAAAATGTCCAAAGGCAAGATTAACTACGGGATACATACAAACAAGATTACAGTGCATTGAAGAGTATTGGCAAACGTTTAAATCTACACATCATGAATTAGTTAAATGCGTACCTAAAGAGAAACGCGCCGACACACCCTATTTTGTTAATGAGGAATATTTTATAATTGAAGATTTATACTTATGTTTACAAGGGGACTTGAGAGATATGTTGTCAGCGCCAACGTCTAGTACCTCAACTATTCAGACGCCTGAAATTCAGGTAAAGCTCCCTAGAATCCTTCTTCCTGAATTTACAGGAATTTATGAAGATTGGACTAGCTACCACGATTTATTTGTATCTCTAGTACACAACAATACGTCGTTAAGTATGGTTCAGAAATTGCACTATTTAAAGTCAAGTGTCACTGGTGAAGCAGAAGCCCTACTAAAACATGTGAAAGTAACCGAAAATAACTATGAACTAGCTTGGGATATTTTGAAGCAAAGGTACGGAAATAAAAGATTAATAGTGAACTCCCTATTAAAAAGATTAACCGGAGTTACCATGGCGTAACGCCTGGTAAATTGCTGTGTGTGGCACAATAAGCTGACACCGCTACCAGGAACAGCAAATTACCACGAATCGGCACCTAACACCAATTATTAATTGTTATATTTTTACAGTAGTCTTGTTCGATCATTAGACATAATTATACATTTTGTACCTTAAATAATTTCATTTGTTTTAATTAAATAAAATATATTTTTAAAAGGCAAATATCGCCCGCCGTAACATAAGTGGCGCAGTCGGTAGGATCGCGGCACTCTAGGACTTTGTAAATAGAAGTCCTCGCGCGAATAGACTCTTCGTGTGTTGAGAACTAGAGTGAACGGTGCTAATCGTAACTATCCGCGATATCATAATAAGAACTATAACGGCGGCATATTGAAGACTTGCGGGAATCCGGAAAATTGGAGACCTGTGATCGACGAGACCCGAAACGGAGATGCAGAAGATGCTGTGTTGGTGAGTACTCTATTACTTTCCAAGTACATCCTATGCTCTATTTCCTTTCGTATTTAATTATAAGTGAACTTTAATGTGTATCTGTCTATAGGCTCGTATCGCTATAGATTTCACAAGTCAATTTAAAATCAATTGAATCCTGTGTGTATACACGTATTAATAGTAATATAGTTATTATCATAAATATAAAATATTATTAAAATGGAGTTCGCAGCCGACTATAAGATGATTACTGACCTCATGCCCAAATACGATGGGAACCCTAAAAGATTAAACTTTTATTTAAGAGAAGTTGATAATTTAATGGGACTTATCCACCCAACAGCGGATGCAGGCTCTCTAGCTATAGTTTGTCTTATAAAAAGTCGCCTTAGTGGTGCGGCGATTGACGCGATAGCTTATGAGGAGTCATTAAACAGTTGGCCCGATATAAAACGCGTTCTACTAACACGTCTAGGAGAACCTAGGAACGAGATTCAAGTTATGCAAGAGCTCACACGTATCCGTCGGAATAAAAACGAGGATGCGGAATCCTTCGGTAAAAGGATTAGGGACCTTTTAGATACTCTGTATATGGTTGGGCAACACACCGACAAGTCGTACTATGAGAAAATGGCTATTGAGCAATATATCAGTCAATTGGACTTCCATATATCAATAGGCGTAAGAATTATGATGCCAGGTACATTGGAACTTGCAATAGTAACCGCACGACAGGAGGAGACGAAATCAGTTACTTATAAGAATAATTCTAGTTTTAATTCCCAAAACCAACAGCAAAAAGCTACAAAAATAGATAATTATAAACCTAATAATTTTCCACGTCAATTTCATGGTCAAGGACTCAACTCAGGACGAAGACGACCAGAGTTTCGGAAAAATCCTGAGATGTTTCAATTTGTTCTTCTATTAAGTTAGTGTTAGGGTAGTAATTGTTATGCTGTTCGTCATGAGGGGAATAATAATCTAACGGGTTGCAATAATACTGAGGTGTGTCGGACTTACCTTCGTACGGAGTGTAGAATAATTCCTCATATGCATATTGTGGAGGTGTCGGTTTGTTAACCGATCGCATAGTGACGTCAGATGTAAGTTGAGTCGGACTTACCTGTTGTTGTGGAACGTTCGGCTGTCTTTGATGGTTATTGTTACTCCTAAAGTTGCCTGAGTTTTGCTTAAAAGTACCGGGGGTTGGTCTATTCTTCCAGGGTAATAATGAATTAACTAACTGTTGCCGTTGTTCCGGGCTGAAATTATTTTGTTGAGGTACATATTGATTAAATGGCATTTGTCGTGAAAAATGTGGCTGCGTTGAAAAATTGAATGATGTACCTACTTGACCATGAAATTGACGTGGAAAATTATTAGGTTTATAATTATCTATTTTTGTAGCTTTTTGCTGTTGGTTTTGGGAATTAAAACTAGAATTATTCTTATAAGTAACTGATTTCGTCTCCTCCTGTCGTGCGGTTACTATTGCAAGTTCCAATGTACCTGGCATCATAATTCTTACGCCTATTGATATATGGAAGTCCAATTGACTGATATATTGCTCAATAGCCATTTTCTCATAGTACGATTTGTCGGTGTGTTGCCCAACCATATACAGAGTATCTAAAAGGTCCCTAATCCTTTTACCGAAGGATTCCGCATCCTCGTTTTTATTCCGACGGATACGTGTGAGCTCTTGCATAACTTGAATCTCGTTCCTAGGTTCTCCTAGACGTGTTAGTAGAACGCGTTTTATATCGGGCCAACTGTTTAATGACTCCTCATAAGCTATCGCGTCAATCGCCGCACCACTAAGGCGACTTTTTATAAGACAAACTATAGCTAGAGAGCCTGCATCCGCTGTTGGGTGGATAAGTCCCATTAAATTATCAACTTCTCTTAAATAAAAGTTTAATCTTTTAGGGTTCCCATCGTATTTGGGCATGAGGTCAGTAATCATCTTATAGTCGGCTGCGAACTCCATTTTAATAATATTTTATATTTATGATAATAACTATATTACTATTAATACGTGTATACACACAGGATTCAATTGATTTTAAATTGACTTGTGAAATCTATAGCGATACGAGCCTATAGACAGATACACATTAAAGTTCACTTATAATTAAATACGAAAGGAAATAGAGCATAGGATGTACTTGGAAAGTAATAGAGTACTCACCAACACAGCATCTTCTGCATCTCCGTTTCGGGTCTCGTCGATCACAGGTCTCCAATTTTCCGGATTCCCGCAAGTCTTCAATATGCCGCCGTTATAGTTCTTATTATGATATCGCGGATAGTTACGATTAGCACCGTTCACTCTAGTTCTCAACACACGAAGAGTCTATTCGCGCGAGGACTTCTATTTACAAAGTCCTAGAGTGCCGCGATCCTACCGACTGCGCCACTTATGTTACGGCGGGCGATATTTGCCTTTTAAAAATATATTTTATTTAATTAAAACAAATGAAATTATTTAAGGTACAAAATGTATAATTATGTCTAATGATCGAACAAGACTACTGTAAAAATATAACAATTAATAATTGGTGTTAGGTGCCGATTCGTGGTAATTTGCTGTTCCTGGTAGCGGTGTCAGCTTATTGTGCCACACACAGCAATTTACCAGGCGTTACGCCATGGTAACTCCGGTTAATCTTTTTAATAGGGAGTTCACTATTAATCTTTTATTTCCGTACCTTTGCTTCAAAATATCCCAAGCTAGTTCATAGTTATTTTCGGTTACTTTCACATGTTTTAGTAGGGCTTCTGCTTCACCAGTGACACTTGACTTTAAATAGTGCAATTTCTGAACCATACTTAACGACGTATTGTTGTGTACTAGAGATACAAACAAATCGTGGTAGCTAATCCAATCTTCATAAATTCCTGTAAATTCAGGAAGAAGGATTCTAGGGAGCTTTACCTGAATTTCAGGCGTCTGAATAGTTGAGGTACTAGACGTTGGCGCTGACAACATATCTCTCAAGTCCCCTTGTAAACATAAGTATAAATCTTCAATTATAAAATATTCCTCATTAACAAAATAGGGTGTGTCGGCGCGTTTCTCTTTAGGTACGCATTTAACTAATTCATGATGTGTAGATTTAAACGTTTGCCAATACTCTTCAATGCACTGTAATCTTGTTTGTATGTATCCCGTAGTTAATCTTGCCTTTGGACATTTTTTTAAGTTTATTTGAGTCTTTTGTAATAAAGTTGCAGTTTCTTCTAATACGCTGAGAAGTTGGGCAGCCGATGTACTCATCTTGATAAAAATTTACTTTAAAAATCCTTTCAATATCTTGTTTTTAAGCCCCGTAATTATAACTTCGTTTGTTTGTTATCACTTGCAACTACGTCGTCAATAATATATCGCTATTATGCATAAATAGCTATAGAAAAAAAAGGTCGACTCTGGAATGCGGGCGCCTATTGTATTCGGAGCGGCCGGTTATCGCTTACTTGATGCGGCTCGAGGACCATATGTTCTTTACAATAGGGTCCGTTTTCGATTGCTTGATTCTGCACTATTTATTTTGCAAAGAATTATAACAATTCCATTCATTCCACAACAGGTTATACTCCACACGAATTACTTTATGGACATACAGCGGCTAGAAACCCATTAGAACTCTACTATAACAAAGAGTTTTACCAAGACTTTGTACTTACACATAGGACAAATGCAGAAGCAGTGCAGCAGTCTGTGGCAGCCAATCTGTCTAAAAATAAAGAACAGGTAATAAACAAGCGAAACCAGGAAGCAGAGGAAATACGTCTGAAGGTAGGTGAAACCGTTTATAAGCAGGTGGCAAAAACAGCAAGAAACGACAAAACAAAACCAGTTTTTAAAGGCCCATATAAAATTATTCATTTACACCCTAACAATGTGGCTGAAATAATAGGTAACCACCCTAATTCCAAATCTATAAGAGTACATTTCAAGTTATTACGAAGACCCCACCTTGTTCCAGGACGATCATCTCCGGAGCCCTCATGCTCACATCAGCAACCACCGTGAAAATCACTCCCATCGATAACTCTAATAGTATACTTTTGCTAAAGCAGGGGTCAGTCCTTAGACAAATAGATACTTTTAACTTAGTATGTGCCTACAACATTAGTTATTTATATACAACTACATTAAAGCTGAGTTCTCTATATGCAAGTACCAAGTTTTATGATGATAAGATAATTCCAGGAGAGTTGCATAAATCGTATACAGATCAAATAGAGTATAAAATACAGATGATACAAAGCAAAATAATAGCTATTATACCCCATAGTAGAGTACGACGCGGAATTTTTAACGGATTAGGTTCTTTAGTAAAAACAGTTACAGGCAATCTAGATTACGATGATGCAGTAAAAATAGAGCAACAAATTTCTAATCTCAATAATAAAATACATTCTATACAAGAAAAATCTATTGTAATAGCTCAAAAGACTATTGCAGAATTTGCGAATCAATTAGATAAGATAAATCAAAATCAAAATAGGTTAAGTTTAATTATACAAAATATAACGCAGCATTCTAATATAGTATTTAGGCAGTTTAGTTTATTACAAGTTCATATACAAATAGATTTTAGTTTACAGTTAATATTAGATAAGCTAATGATCTTAGAAGACGCTATGGCATTTGCACAAATAGGTATCATGCACCCCAGTGTAATAAATACTAAAAACTTAATTATTGAAATGTTAGATATGAAACGTAAATATAGCTTCAATCCCGTGGCACCGATCTATCTAGAAAATATTCACGAAATAGAAAAGTCTATAGAGGTTAAAGCTTATAGTACAGAACAATCATTAAATTTCATTTTAGAAATACCCTCAGTAGAAACAGCTACCTATGACCTTATCCATATGTATTCTATTCCTAACAAAGACAACCTTACCATTATTCCCAAATCCAAATACCTAGTACTTGGAAAGGGAGAGTACACGTACATAGATGAAGATTGTCGCAGCATCACCGAAGACGTACACATCTGCAAGCAGTTGTTACTGAAATCCTTACAAGACGCTGGAGATTGTATCACAGCAACAATAGAACATAAAATCAACCACGAATCTTGTCCATACGCAAAAATGATGATAAAGAAGGGAAAGTTACAAAATATTAGTCCTAGTAGCTGGCTTCTTATCACCAACACTCAAGAGGTCCTGAAAGCAACATGTGGTACTGAAATAACGTATCACACCCTCAACGGAGTACATCTCATCGCAATCCCCAACGAGTGTTACGTGCAAGTTTTAAATAAAACTCTACAAACTCATAGCAATACTGTAACCATTGAAGACATCATTCCATTACCAAAGCAGGAGGCAATAAGAATAAATGAAATTCAAGCAAAAATACAACTAGAAGACATCTCCTTAGACAATATACATGAACTCATAAAAACAGCGCATTATATACAAGATGATGTGGATAATAATGAGACTTTCATATCACTAAAACCAAGTTGGACTACCATCGCCCTATACCTCCTTGGGTTAGGCTATTTGAGCTGGAAATTAATTACATATATAACTACCCGAAGGAAGAAGATGGACGCAGACCAGATTGCTAGACCATCCCCGCAGAAGAACAGCGAGACGCGGTTCTATCTAAAGGAGGGAGGAGTTACCATGGCGTAACGCCTGGTAAATTGCTGTGTGTGGCACAATAAGCTGACACCGCTACCAGGAACAGCAAATTACCACGAATCGGCACCTAACACCAATTATTAATTGTTATATTTTTACAGTAGTCTTGTTCGATCATTAGACATAATTATACAGCTTGTACCTTAAATAATTTCATTTGTTTTAATTAAATAAAATATATTTTTAAAAGGCAAATATCGCCCGCCGTAACATAAGTCCGGGCAAAGAAAAATTAGTACACCAACTGCAAATCAAATTAAATTACTGCTGGATACAACCACAGAATGTTTGAGTAGCTTGCAAAATTTAGACATACCTACCGACTCTTGGGATCCTTTAATTATATTTCTGATCGTACAGAAATTGGACTCAGAGTCGCATAAAGCTTGGGAGGAATATGCATATAAGCACAATTCAAACGACTTACCGTGCTGGAAAGACCTGAAATCATTTTTGGAGTCGAAATTTCGAACCTTAGAACTAACCACACCATTCACAAGTTCAACAATAATGACAAGAGAAAAGACAAAATCATATCATGCTTCTTCAGCACCAGTAAAAATATGCAAAATGTGTAATGGAACTCACACATTAACTAATTGTGAAGAATTCAAAACGCTTCAACCTAATGAAAGAAGTGAGTTCGTAAAGAAAAACAACTTATGCTTCAATTGTTTGGTCCCGGGACATTCTTCATGGAATTGCCGTTTGCAAATGTTCTGTCGTGTGTGCAAGCGTCGTCATCACTCATTGTTACATCTACCAAGAAGTCCCGTGCAACCGGATAATACAGAAATCCATCATAGTCACATCGAAGGAATAGAAGAAGACCCTGAAATAGGTAACGAAACAAATGTAGCAATATCATCACATTTTACAACGCGACGATCAACAGCCTTGCTGGCAACAGCATTGGTACAAGTAAAAGATATTACTGGTCAAGAAACAATATTGCGCGCTTTAATAGATCAAGGGTCGCAGGCAAATTTTATAAGCGAACGAGCAGCACAACAGCTTAAGTTAAAGAGAAAGTCAGCAAGAGGAACAGTCAGTGGAGTGGGAGATACAAGTACCACTATCAGTCAAATGATGGAAGTTGAATTGTGTTCAAGATATGACGTCAAATTCAAGCTCACATTAAACTTTTTTATCATGTCAAAACGACTGACGTCTAATTTGCCAACAAAACATATTGATTCACAAGTCTACTCACACATACAAAACCTCAACTTGGCTGACCCAAACTTCAATCACCCAGGGCGAATAGACATGTTGTTAGGTGTAGAAACATATGCACAAATAGTAATGCAGGATATTATCAAGGGTCCACCAGGATCTCCATGTGCCCAAAATACTAAACTCGGATGGATTCTCTTCGGTGAAGTAAATGAATTTTCTACATCGGAAGAAGTTATAACGATGCACCATCATATTGATTTCGACGATATGCTAAAGGTTCTATGGGAGATTGATCCTGATTCTAAGAATAAGTTAACGCAAGAGGAAGAAACCTGTGAAAGAATGTACAAAGAAACCTACTCTAGAAGTAATGAAGGAAGATATATTGTGGTTTTACCATTTAAAGATGAAACACCAAAATCATGTAACGGAAATACTAGAGATGTAGCTACGCGAAGATTATTTCATTTAGAAAAACGCTTCGAGAGAGAACCGTATTTAAAAACAGAATATATGAAGGTAATGCAAGAATATATTGATTTAAAGCACATGGAACAGGTACCAGTGGAAGAAATAGAAAATAGATCGACATATTTACCGCATCATGCTGTGATAAAGAATACGAGTGAGACCACAAAGACCAGAGTCGTTTTTGACGCCTCATGTAGAGGCACCAATAATATTTCTCTCAACGATGAATTACTGGTAGGACCTCAGTTACAAGAAGATATTCGGTACTTAATAATGAGATGGCGATTAAAAAAGGTGTGTTACGTGGCTGATATTGAAAAAATGTATCGCCAAATATTAGTTTCAAAAAAGAACGTCGACTACCAACGACTTTTATGGCGCAAGAGTACCGCGGATCCCATACAAGATTATCGTTTACTCCGTGTGACATTCGGTACTGCCTCAGCACCTTACCTTGCCGTTAAAACACTACATCAGTTGGCCGAAGACGAAGGTGCATGCTATCCACTCGCGGCTGAAACAATAAAACAAGATTTCTACATGGATGACTTAATGTCTGGACAGGATACTGTAACAGAAGCCGTGGAAGTGGCAAAGAACATTACTAGCATTCTTAGGAAGGGAGGTTTTAACTTACAAAAATGGTCTTCCAATAGTGCCGAGTTTCTGCAACAATTTCAGTCATCAGAGAGAAGTACACATATAAAACTAGATATGAAGGTACATGGAACAATAAGAGCATTAGGACTTACCTGGAACATGGGTGAAGATAAACTAGAGTATCACCATAATTTTCCATCGCCGCCTCCTTCAGCATCTGTAAAAATAACCAAAAGAAATATATTAGGAGAAATACAGCGGCTGTTTGATCCTCTCGGTTGGCTGGCTCCGGCGATGATACCTGCAAAAATTATTATTCAGAGATTGTGGATGGAAGGGGTCTCCTGGGATGATGAAGTGAACCCTGAAATACAAAAGGATTGGGTAAATATAAAACAAAGCTTTGTACATCTTAAGGATATTGAAATAGACCGTTGGGTACACACTACAAAGACAAATATGAACAGTGTAACTATACATGGATACTGTGATGCTTCTACAAAAGCATATGGAGCAGTAGCTTATCTAAGAGTTCTAAACGAAGACGGAAATATTAAAATAACTATCATTGCTGCCAAGGCTCGCGTTGCACCAGTTAAGCCAGTATCCCTGCCACGGCTTGAATTATGCGGCGCAGTTCTGTTATCTAAGTTGTTGAAACAGATCAGTGAAGCGACTCGTATACCTGCTAGTCAAATATATGCATGGACGGATTCCACTATAGTCTTGTCTTGGTTGCGAGGAGATCCGTCGCGTTGGCAAACTTTTGTAAGAAATAGAGTGGTCACCATTTTAGATAATATCGGTAACAAATGGTTTCATGTACAATCTTCGGATAATCCTGCAGACGTTGCTTCTAGGGGTATGTTGTTACCAGAGTTAAAAAATTTTGAGTTATGGTGGCAAGGGCCAGAGTGGCTGAAAGAAATAGAGAGATATAACATAAAGTTAAATAAATCAAATAATTTTACAACTGAACTGGAAAAGAGAGAAAACAAAGTAAATATTCATATCCAAACTACAGATGAAGGTGAACTGGAAATGTGGACTAGACATTTTAAAAATTTTGATACTGTAACTGAACTTTTAAAAGCAATTACAAATTGTAGAAGATTTTTAAATTTTAAAAAGGAAAATATAGATATCACTACAAAAATTACCAAATTAGAATTGGAAATCTCGTTACAAAAATGTATTCGTATAATACAAAGACAAACTTTTGAGGAAGAAATTTTAGATTTAAACCAGAAAAAATATGTTAAGAAGAGAAGCACTGTGAAGTCGTTGAATCCATTTATAGATTCCAATCATATACTCCGAGTGGGCGGCAGAATTAGACACTCAAACCTAGACAATGAAAGGAAGCACCCAATCATTTTAGACAACAAGAATCCTTTGACAACTTTGATTGTTGCCGACGCTCATATACAAACTCTTCATGGAGGAGTTCAACTGATGCTCAACTATATTAGATCGAGGTATTGGATTATAAAGGTGAAAAGATTAGTGAAATCTTACCTCCGTAAATGTTTGATTTGTGCCAAACAGAGTGCATTTTCAAGGCCACAGTTAATGGGAGACTTACCAAAAGAACGCGTGACTCCTGCGCGACCATTCTTACATAGTGGAGTTGACTTCGCAGGTCCCTATGATATTCTCATGTCTAAGGGACGAGGAGCCAAAACTAATAAAGGCTACATCGCCTTATTCATATGTATGGCCACCAAAGCCATACACTTAGAACTCGTTGGCGACTTAACATCTGAAGCTTTTATCGGAGCTTTTCGACGATTTGTTTCACGAAGAGGCAAATGCAGTGACATATGGAGTGACCAAGGACGCAATTTTGTAGGAGCAAACAAAGAACTTATAGAAAGCTGGAAACAGGCTACATTAGAATTTGAAACATCAATTGCAGAAACGTTACTGACAGAGGGCACACAATGGCATTTTATCCCAGCATATAGTCCCAATTTCGGGGGGGCTTGGGAATCAGGGATTAAGTCTCTGAAATATCACCTGAAACGTATACTGACCGCAAATAGAACATTTGAAGAAATGACCACCCTCTTATGCCAAATTGAGGCTTGCCTCAACTCTCGTCCGTTATGCCCAATTGACGACACTGATATAGATAATATGGAGGTGTTAACACCAGGACATTTTTTAATTGGCGAAGCACCGGTTACAGTTCCTTCGCCGAGTCTGAAGGATGTATCCATGAGTAACTTATCACGATGGCGTTTGACTCAAAAGTTACTGAATGATTTTTGGCATAGTTGGCAACAGGAGTACTTATCTAGGCTACAGCAACGCCCGAAGTGGTTAAAAAGAGTAAAGGAATTTGAAAAGGGTCAGATAGTGCTCATAAAGACTGATCATTTACCTCCGGGAAAATGGTCACTTGGACGCATTGTTGATAAACATCCAGGGCCAGACGATATCACCAGAGTATACAGTGTAAAAAGTGGAAATAATATTGTGAAACGGTCAATTAATAAGTTGTGTTTATTGCCTGTAGAAACTAAAGATTGACAATTAGGTAATTTTGGATAAAAAAAAAAAAAAAAAAAATTGTAGAAAATGTCATATTGTGCATGTAATGATGAGACTTTTGTTACTTAATAATATATATGTTTACTGTTCAATCAGATACAAGTCAGTTTATGTAATTTAAGGTATTTCATATTGTTTCGTTATAAAAAAAAGGGGATGATTGTTAATGTTTTAAAAAAGAATTATATAGGATATTAAAAGGTTTAGTGCCCTTTTAGTGGGCGGTATGGTTAGTTTACAGTTAGAAGCTAAGTTCATACTGTCTCGACACCTCGTTGTTTATATTATAAAATGTTCAAACCGTTTAAAGTTAGTTCCAATAAAGAAATAGAAGCAAGCACATGTATTTTAATTCTTTGCAAAATAAATAGTGCAGAATCAAGCAATCGAAAACGGACCCTATTGTAAAGAACAGTACTTAAGATAAGAACGGTCGTCGGCGGGTGCAGCCGACGGCGTCAGCGGGGGCCTCCCTGCCGGGTGAGGCAGGGGGGTGAGTGCCTATTGATATGTGACCCTATATGTAAGATCACTAATCTTATTGAGTGAAAAATGTATACCTAAGCGAACCTACTTGGTGGCGTCGGCGGCGGCTCGGATCGGCGCGTCGCGCATATGCGCGACGCGCCGATCCGAGCCGCCGCCGCTGCCACCAACACCCGCCGACGAGCCGCCGCCACCAACACCCGCCAACGCCTGCTGCCTGCCGCCCGCCGCCGACGCCACCAAGTAGGTTCGCTTAGGTACACATTTTTCACTCAATAAGATTAGTGATCTTACATATTAGGGTCACATATCAATAGGCACTCACCCCCCTGCCTCACCCGGCAGGGAGGCCCCCGCTGACACCGTCGGCTGCACCCGCCGACGACCGTCCTTATCTTAAGTACTGTCTATTGTTTTATTGTATTGTCTTGTTATTGTAGTGTTTTATATTATTATTTCTATTCTTATTCTATTCTTTTGTGTTAATTACCACTGTTTAAAAAATGTCCTTATCAGAGGCCGATATGCCTCTGTTCTTTCAGTTCCTGGAAAAAAAGTGTCCCGGCATCTTAAATGCCTTTATTTAAAGCCGCCAAGCCTGTGCACTTAGTGTACAGCTCGCCCCCCGCGTCCCCAATGACTCAGACTGACACTGACGAATTTGAGGACGACTCCCAACGGTTCCCGCCGCTTCCCCCAACCCAAGCCGACCAGGCCGCAGCAGCAGCATGGAGCAGGACGACTCCGTCGCGGAGCTTGACGCTCCTAGTATGGAGCTCGACGCCATCCGCGACGGCGACGTCCCCTCTCCCATCCCCCCGGTCTCCTCAGACGAGGACGATTTTATCGTTGTTGGCAACAAGCGTGCCAAGAAGACCCAGGGCTCCCAGCCAACCAAAACAAAGCATGCCCACGACGGTACCGCTAAAATCGCCCCCGGTCCGAGTGCACGCAAGTCGCACCCCGAGACCAAAGCCCCGCCCCCCGTCATCATCCAGGACAAAAGTGCCTGGAATACGGTGTCAAATATGCTTAAAAATAAGCACATCAACTTCAGCCATGCTAAGGCTACCACACTAGGGATCAAAGTCACAGTCCCATCATCTGACGACCATCGTCGTCTCACCACCTTCCTGCGAGAGAAAAACATAGGTTATCACACCTATGCTCTCGAGGAAGAGAAAAAGCTCCGCGTTGTAGTACGCGGCTTACCCAAGGAGCTCTCTACAGACTCCATCCTTGAGGACCTTTAGTCCCAAAATTACCCAGCGCACGAGGTACATCGTATGTACCAGTCGCGCTCACGCAACAAGGCCGCTATCCTTGTTCTAGTCATATTGGACTTATCCCCAGAAGGCAAATCAATCTTTGACATAAAGAGCGTTTGCCAATTGTCTTCTCTATCCGTAGAGGCGCCTCGTAAGCTTACCTACCCCGGAGAATGCCACCGTTGTCAGAACTACGGGCACTCTGCCCGTAATTGCTTCGCTCGCCCACGGTGCGTTAAGTGCCTAGGCGATCACGCCACCGCAGATTGCGGCCGTAGGCCCAATACCCCCACGCCCCCCAGTTGCACCCTCTGCCTCACAGAGGGTCACACCGCGAATTACCGCGGTTGTTCACGCGCCCCACGTCCCGCCCAAAAGAAGGCCACCCACACCCAGGGCAACCGTGCTCCGGCACGTGCCCCCGCCAAGGCTCAAACACAACCCGAGCCACTCCTACCCGCCCCTCTGCCTGCTAACAATGCCTGGATTAAACCCCCGGCAATTGTAAGCAAGGTAGCAAGGAGAAAGCCCCGCCCGCCCAATCGGCCCCCCCCCTGCCCAAACACAAACCCGGCCCCAAAACACAGCCCGCGGCCCCCAAGGCCAACGGCAGCGCCCTCGCGCAGGACGTCGCATTGGTCGCTCGCTTAGCCAGCACCATCGACCCTAACGAGATTGCCCTTCTGGCCTCCAAGCTCCGCCTGTATAAGGAGTCGCCCCAAAATAGGCTCGCAGCCGGCTGCGAGCACATCGGCGTACTTACCGCCATCCTCAATTTTAACCTGTAATTATGGGTACTCGAGCTCAGAGAGAAAAGCCTCGGTCCGTTCGAATAGCGTTTTTTAACGCATTCGGATTAAAAAAACAAAAGGAGGAAATCGCCTCCTTTCTCACTGACCACCACGTCGATATTCTCCTCGTGCAGGAGACCCTACTGAAACGTTCAGTCCGCGATCCTAGAATCGCCAATTACAACATAGTTAGGAACGACCGCACCGCCTGTAGAGGCGGCGGTACGCTCATATACTATAAACGGTCCCTACATTGTATACCGCTACAAACACCGCCTCTCACTCATATGGAGGCCTCCGTCTGTCTTCTCGGCATGACCGGCCACCGACCGCTCGCCGTGGCATCCGTCTATCAGCCTCCCGGCAAACTACTGCTGGAAAGCGACCTACGCGCCCTCCTAGATATCAACAGCGCCACCATTCTGGCTGGCGATTTGAATTGTAAACACACCCGCTGGAACTGCCACGTATCCACGACAAACGGCCACAAACTAGACAGACTAGCCGACTCTCTCGAATTCGAGATAATCGCCCCGCTCCGCCCTACTCATTATCCCCATAACGTGAACCACCGACCCGACATACTGGACATGGCACTGCTGAGGAACGTAACCCTACGGGTGAGCTCCCCAGAAGTCCATGCCGAGCTTAACTCGGACCATCGACCGGTAACCCTCCTTCGGGGCCCTCCGCCCGACACGCCACTACCAACCAAAACAATAACAGACTGGCAACGACTCGAGAAATCTCTCGAATCGACCGACACACCGATACTAACCCGTATTCCCGACGTCATAGAGTCCACCGAGGACACTTTCATTGCGATCGACTCGCTTACTAACCACCTGCAGTCGGCAGTCAAGGACTGCTCCAGGGAGGTACCGGCGACGGACGACCGTCGCTGGCAGCTCCCCGATGACGTAAGGAGGTTAATAAGCGATAAGAACGCAGCCACTAGAGCGTACGATCGCTACCCCTCCGAACCGAACCGGGTGCGCCTGCGAGCCTTACAGCGTAGCGTTAAGGAGCACATCGCGCAGATCCGGGACGGCCGGTGGGGCAAGCTCCTAGAAGAGATAACGCCATGCCACACCGCGTACTGGCGCATAGCGAAATCTCTCAAAACCGACCAACAGACAAACGACATGCCTCCGCTAGTCCGACCCGACAACACTATAGCCTTCTTCGACGAAGACAAGGCTGAGTGTCTAGCGTCCAACTTAGAAGCCCAATGCTCCCCCAGCACGCTCCCAGTCGAGGCAGGTCATCTTGAGAAGATAGACACCGAAGTCGAACGCATCGCGTCCACCCCGCCCGCCGAATCCCTCTCACCAGTCACGCTTGATGAGGTCAAAACGCTAGTTAAACAACTACCTATCAAAAAATCACCCGGCTCAGACGGCATATCCAATAGGTTAGTCAAAAGTCTGCCATCCCAACTTTTAGTATTACTCGTCGCTATTTTTAACGCGGCGCTGTCCAACGCTATATTTCCAGACAGCTGGAAAGAAGCCGTGGTCATTGGCATCCCCAAGCCCGGTAAAAATAAATCCGACCCGTCCAGTTATCGTCCTATCAGCCTCCTCAAGGCTATAGGCAAGCTGTACGAGCGACTCCTCCTCGCCCGCCTAAAGGAGTTTATATACTCCAAAGGCCTGCTCATCAACGAGCAGTTTGGCTTCCGAGCCAAACACTCATGCGTCCATCAAGTGCACCGCATCATGGAGCACATTCACAAAAACACCCTGTACTTACTGCCACCAAGTCCCCCAAAGGCGGTACAGGCGTCCTATTTTTCGATGTGGCTAAGGCTTTCGATAAAGTCTGGCACAACGGCTTGATTTACAAGCTTAATCAGTTAGGTGTCCCCGACAGGCTAGTACTCATTGTACGAGATTTCCTGTCGAATCGCTCTTATCGCTACCGTATAAACGGAGCGTTATCCGACCCGCACCCCATACGAGCCGGCGTCCCTCAGGGCGCCGTCCTCTCTCCGATGCTCTACTCGTTGTACACCAACGACATCCCTAAATTCTCCGACTTAAAAGTCTAAATATCGCTGTTTGCCGATGACACGGCTCTCTTTACATCCGCCAAGTCCCGTGCGACAATAGCCAGACGGCTTCAGAAAGCCGTAACGATACTGGGCGAATGGTTCCGTCGGTGACGCATAGAAGTCAATCCCGAAAAAAGTGCAGCAGTGTACTTTAGCAGGGAATTCGACTCTATGAATCACCCGATCGAACTGTTCGGCCAAAGCATCCGGTCGAAAACGAAATACCTCGGCGTCACCCTAGATAGGAAACTAACGTTTCGTCCTCACATCAAGCGTGTCCGCGACCGAGCCGCCTTTATACTAGGGCGACTCTATCCTTTTATTAACAAGCACAGTAAAATGTCGCTTCGCAACAAGCTGACATTATACAAGGCTTGCATCCGTCCCATCATGACTTACGCTAGTCCCGTATTCGCCCACATACCCTACTGTTTAATCAACAGACTACAGATCATACAGAATAGGTTTCTGCGTCGAGCCACCGGTGCACCGTGGTTCGTTCTGTTATACCCGAGCCCAGTACAGAGAAAATGCTGAGCCTGAATAATTATCGCTTAACATCGTTATATAAAAACAGTTTAGACTGTTAGTCAAATCAGTCCGCGTCGATAACTCATTTCACTTGCACCTACATAGCTTGGGATAAGTTTGTTAATATAATAACTTGTGAAACCACATTTTCGAAATAAACTATCTGAAATCAAGTGACTTTTGTGTTGTG